TAACCCCCTGCAGCCGTGCACGCAGTTCTGGAACACGTCTGGATAACCCCCTGAAGTCATGTTTGAAGTTCAAGAACAAATCTGGCTAACCACTTGTAGTCGTGCACGCAGTTCTGGACCGTATCTGGCTAACCTCCTAGAGTCATGCATGCAGTTCTGGAATACATCTGGCTAACCCCCTGCAACCGTACACGCAGGTCTGGAACGTATCTGGCTAACCCCCTGGAGTCATTCTCGCTGTTCTGAAACTTATCTGGGTAAGCCCCTGGATTCATTCTCGCAGTTCTCGAACGTATTTGGCTAACCCCCTGAAGTCATTCTCACAGTTCTGGAACTTATTTGGCTAACCCCCTGGAGTCATGCACGCAGTTCTGGAACGTATCTGGCTAACCCCCTGGAGTCATGCACGCAGTTCTGGAACGTATCTGGCTAACCCCCTGGAGTCATGCACGCAGTTCTGGAACGTATCTGGCTAACCCCCTGGAGTCATGCACGCAGTTCTGGGACGTATCTGGCTAACCCCCTGGAGTCATGCATGCCGTTCTGGAACGTATCTGGCTAACCCCCTGTAAGCATGCTCGCAGTTCAAGCTAGCCCTGTTACCTGACTCTGTCACATAGCGCAATTATGACAAGCCCCAATGCAACCGGACTTGCCTGGGTTTCCAAGCTGCTGCAATGTTTTAATAAGAATTTGCTGTGCACTACTTCAGAGTATTTAATGATTCTACTTAAACTTGGGATGTAAACTATTGCCGTAAGTTTCGTGGCATGACCTAAACCCAGTACCGCTTTACTATTTCGTTTTAATGTCCCCAAAAGCCAAAAGCACCATTCGTTCGAATTAATAAATACAGGGTTAGGCAAAAGTCTGGAACCCCCCAGTTAAATTTTTAACGCGTTGCAGTAGGAAAACCAAACTCGGCACATATTTACAACATAAGAAATTGCACTTTTTCATCAAAGTTGCAACTTTGCCCCGGTCCCCAAAATGGGGTATTTTGGGGACAGCCCAAAATTTTCAAATGTAAACACCTATCATGTGACTATTGATGTAAAGAATCAAATTTACAAAGACTCGTATTCGTGCCGTTTTTAATTTTTTTTTTATGATCGACATTTTGTAAATGCAGCAAACCTCTTCTTCAAAATACCCAAATCGATAATGATCCATCAGTTTTTTAATAAAATGCTAATACTTGCATGGGTAAGATGGAAATCATTAATGACAAGTGTAAAAGATTACATGCTACAAACATGTTTATACACTAATTATATGGAAATATCTATCTGCAATGTAATCGAATACTGTGATTTAAGTTAAAGTTGTTGCCAGTTTTTAAATTATAGGTGCCGTATTTAATGTAACCGACAGATTGTGCTGATCTAAATTAGGTACTATCTTTCGTCGAATACACGAACTTTTGACCAAAGTCAAACTGGTAAAGTCGATTGTGAGCTTATTGTCATGACCCATAAACAATGTCAGCAACAAAACAATAGGTAGAAAAATATAATTGTGGGGAGGAGCACATTCTGTGACTAGCTAACAAAACTAAGATTTTTTATTTAAAAAACTGTGACAGCTGGTCTATATAGATAGGATGTCTACTTCAGTATCCAATAGTGCATGATAGTATTTAAATAAATAATCAAAATTCCCTATTTAAATTTTTTCTATGCTGAATAACAAGTTCAGATATTACGTTAGTCGAAATAGTCGTTATCAGGGTTACTTGCTGATGTAAAAGTGCAGTTGTTTTCAAAGTCACAGCTGCAGCTGATTCAGCAACTGATTACCTACGAGTCTTCGACGAAATTCCAAACTGGTCACACTATCCTGATAACTAGTGTGACGCAAACCAACAAATATCTATCCACGCATTTACACTAAAGCCCAGAAAATATACAGAGTGGCTGAAAAGTAACTTGCACCCCCCCCCCCCTTACGAAACATAACAATTAACATAAAGAAAATAGAAATCGGACCATTAATAACAAAATGGCAGTTCAAAATTACTTTTAATAACCATTGTCTTAACCATTTTTAGCTGCTATTTTGTTATTAATGATCCGATTTCCATTTTCTTTATGTTAATTGTTATGTTTCGTAACGACCTGCAAAATGATACCAAACTCGACTATATTTGTCATTTGAACATTTTGAGCTACCCCCTACCCCCACACCCCTAAGGGCAAAATTTTCAAAACTGACGATAATTATTGTAGCCCTTTATATCCAAACAAGTTGCTGCAAACCGATTTCAAATATCTCAAATAGTTAAAAAGTTAAAGGGGATGCAAGTTAATTTTCAGCCACCCTCATGGTTATTTGGATTTGAAACGTTTTAGGGCGCCATTTTGTTATTAGTGGGCCGATTTTGGTTTTCTTTATGTCAATTTTTAGGTTTCGTCACGACCTCTAAAATGATACCAAACTCGACTATAGTTGTCATTTGAAAATTTTGAGATACCCCCTACCCCCACTACCCCTAAGGCCAAAATTGACCATAATTATTTTAGCCCTTCATACTTAAGAAGGTTGCCGCAAACAGATTTCAAATATCTCAAATGGTTGAAAAGTTTAGGGGGGGTGCAATTTACTTTCAACCATCCTGTATGTTAAAACAACCAAAAAACGCAAAATATAAGATACTTTAACAGTGTTATTATAAGGAAACTACTACATGTATCGAAATTCAAAAATTATTTTGTGTTTACTTTAAATAGCAAATTTTAATTAATTTGACAACAATGGTAAATACTGTCAAAAACCACTGTATAAGACGTACTTGAGAGCAACTCCTTAATATACGGGTTTTAAACAAGGATAAAATGGATGGCCATGTTTTGGCTTCGGTATTTGTACATTTGTTTACCACGAAACACAGGTTTCAGATTTTTTGGAATTCGTCGTAGAAAAAGAGGGTGAACATTTTGAAAAATAAACATAACATTTCTCTAAGTGCTTTGTCGCATCATTAAGCACTGTTAAAAGCCACAGTCTCGGGGTCGTAAAGAAGCTCCAAGATACAGTAAACCAACATATGAAACATTTTAACTTACTTAAAATAATTAAAGATAAGTCACTTGATTTATAAATAAATATCACAGTGTTGTTATATTTTGGTTGAGCTAAGCAGAGACACATTCCTTCTTTTGGGAGGTGAGGTTGAGATTGTAGTCTTTCACAGAATACTAATTAATTATAAATAAAAACATTTATACAAAACCTATTTGTCACAAGTCTTTACTACTACGATAAACATTTATAGTCGTTTCAATAAATCGTGTATCTTATTACTGTAGTTTTATATATTAATCATGAATGTGCAAATTAAATCTTAACATCATTTTTTAGTGTGACTTTAGGATTATTCTTTCAATATTTCCAACTTTAGAACAATTAACTGACTCAATAGCACTTTTCAATCCACCGGGACACTTGTGAAAAGCTGAAACCGCAACAGAAAACTGGCTACATGGCAACCCTAGCCAGCAGCAGCTAGATTATCTGAAAAATCTAAAAGTTAGTTATGCTAGATAAAATAGAGTCACTTACCGATAACACCAAAAACTAGGAGGATCGCCATAAAGATGAGGGGCATGGAGCAGGGGGTTCTTCGCTCTTCTACCTCCTTAAGGCCTTCGGTGGTGAAGTAGTAAGTTCTACCGGGCATCGCGCTGCGTCTCGATCACTTGACTTGCTGCTGGACAAATCTGGACTGACTCAGAGCTGAGCGAATGTCATATCGAAACTATCATAACGACCATTCGATATTGCCACCAGGTGAACTGTGACTCATAGGCTGGCTGCCTGATCAGCTGACTTAATCAACTACAACATCCATATGAACTAGCCGTTGCCGTATTTTTTTTACTACTGTATAAAATGTACAACTTTGTGTTTACAAAAAAATCATATTTATTTATTTAATTTTAGTAATGGTTTTAATTGTTCCCTGAATCGTGTCTAATGATACTTGATCAAACTTTTTAAATTTTGTGGTCATGATATTGTTTAAAAAAAACTACAACAAATAAAATGCAGTTTTGATTATATGTATTTTTTGTGTTTGTGTTATAAATTTACGCTGATATGGTAATAATAATAATAATAATAGTGATAACAATAATAAATTTACTGCCGTAAAAACAATTTAAATATTTGCATGATATCCGTCAACAGCAGTAAATACAAGCTATAACATATTAAGCAATCAGTAACACCAATGATTATCGGAGACACGTTACACTTACATTGAAAAATAACACCAAATCAATAAACAAAATGGATATATTCCTTGGCAACCCAAAACCTGTTTAGACATTTTAGAGCATAAAACGTATTTCATCCCTCTATTCCCTTATCTGCAGGAAGCCTATTCAGGAACCTCACTCATGTTTGAGAAGGCAAGCTCCTCATGAACTGTTTTGAGCCAACCTGTATTGTCCTATGTAGGATATGAGTGTATATCCTGGCCTTCAGTTAATATGCATTGAATTTGGAAAGGGATATCCAGGATATACTGGCAGGCAAGAGTCAGTACGCCCAGCTCCCTGAAGACGGCTCTAGAAGACCCTCTCACCTGCTATTTAGAAACAATTCTGAGTGCTCTCTTTTGAACACAGAACAAAATTTGGAAGTCCGCTTCTGCACATCCACCCCAAAGTGCAATGCCATAAGACAGATGAGGATATATTAGGCCAAATTAGGTCATTAGAAAACATTTTCTGGACAAAATGTTGTCTGTACTCCTCAGGCAAAACAGCCTGCAGATGCCTTCATACAGACGTTGTCAATGTGGTTACTGTAATTGAGCCCTTGGTCAACGGTGATGAAAATAAATTTAAAAGAATGAACTTGTTTAATAAATGAGTCAATCATGACCGTTACAACCTCAACAGTTACTGTTCCGTATTCAAGCATCTACGCATATCAGTGATGTTTTATTGTATTTTAGATGTCATAAAATTGTATTCACCTGTGACATACGTCAAATGTATCGTCAGATCTTGGTTTCTGATAAGGACAAAAGTTATCAAATGATATACTGGCGTGCTAGTCCAGATGATCCACTCCAAACGTACAAACTCAATACAGTTACATATGGGCTTAATTGTTCCCCTTTTATTGCAATCAAAACCTTGCACCAGCTAGTTTTGGACGAAGGTCAACCATACCCACAAGCTTCTGATATCTTGACCAAGTCTATCTTCTATGATGATATTATAGCTGGAGCTGAAGATCTCGATAAAGCTATGTCAGCTCAAAATGAACTGAAAACATTGCTGTCTAAAGGCGGTTTTGAACTCCGTAAGTGGATCAGTAATGCACCCCAACTCTTGGATCAGATTCCAGTCGAACACAAAGAATCACCAGTGGAGTTGACTGATGGTAGTGAGGCCTTCTACAGTGTATTGGGTTTAAGATGGACCCCAGAGACAGACATGCTCTCATACAAAGTAAAGAATGTTGAAGTAGGCCACTTGCTAACCAAGAGAATGATTCTCTCAACAATCGCTAAACTCTATGATCTCCCAGGATTTCTCACACCTGTAATATTTTGGGCTAAAACACTCATTCAATATCTTTGGACCACAGGTCTAAAATGGGATGATCCAATTCAAGATGAGATAAGAACAAAATGGATTTCCTTTTTAGAAGAACTACCCGTGATCCAAAACCTAAGGATCCCACGTTACATCTTTACCTCAACTCATAAGCTTGCAGAACTTCATGGTTTCAGCGATGCTTCGGAGAAAGGATATGCTGCAGTAGTCTACCTCCGTGTGATCAACTTATCGAATGATGTTAAAATTAATCTGATAATGGCCAAATCTAAAGTCGCCCCACTAAAAAGAGTATCTCTGCCTCGTCTCGAACTGTGCGGTGCTCACCTACTTGGAAAGCTCCTGCAATACTGTTCAAATCTTCTTTCGTCCCACATTAAGATTGACTCGATGTATGCTTGGTGTGACTCTACCATTGTTCTTACATGGATACGCACTCACCCCTATCGCTTAAAAGTCTATGTGGCCAACCGTGTCTCAGAACTACAAGAATTAATCTCTCCTGAATCATGGCATTACGTCAAGTCCCTCGACAACCCAGCAGATTGTGCAACCCGAGGACTCTCCCCATCTCAACTCTTAAGCCACCAATTGTGGTGGAAGGGACCTGAATGGTTATACTTGTCATCAGATCTTTGGCCAAAGCCCGAATTCAGTTTAATCACTGATCAAGACACTCTTGAAGTCAAACCAAATCCCTTGAATGTCCTAGTTAACGTTGAAAAGTTAGAAAATGACAGATTTGATTTACTTGAAAAATTCTCATGCTTTAGAAAACTTGTAAATGTCACTGCTTATGTTCTACGATTCATCCATTATCTTCGTGGGAACGCCCGACTAGCTGGACAACTTAGTTATAAAGAGATCTCTTCTGCTAAAATGAATCTCTTCAAACTCATTCAAATTTCATCTTTCAAGGATGACATCACAGCTCTGAAAAAGGGCACTCAGTGCAGCTTAAGACTGGCTCGGTTATCACCTTACATTGACGATAACGGTTTGGTAAGAGTAGGCGGTAGGTTGAAACATTCAAACCTTACTCAAGATGCCAAATACCCAATCCTGTTACCTAAATCTCATAATGTTGTAAAACTGTTGGTCATGCACTATCATCTCAAATATTTACACGCAGGCCCTCAGTTGCTGCAATCGATCCTCACTCAAGAAGTATGGATATTATCTGCTCGTAGTGTAATCAGATCTGTAATCTTTAAATGTCAAAGATGTTTTAAGTTGAAACCTACAAATCAACCTCCACTTATGGGAGACTTACCCGAAACTCGACTACGGCCTGTAAGACCATTCTATCATACTGGCATGGATTATAGCGGTCACTTTGAAGTGAAAGTACACACCACTAGGAATTCTCAAAAGCTTAAGTCATACCTCTGCCTATTTGTTTGCTTTACCACAAAAGCGGTGCACTTGGAAGTTGTAACTGATCTCTCAGTGGACTCATTCATTGCTGCTCTTAAAAGATTTGTTTCTCGTCGTGGACTTTGTGCTCACCTATACTCTGATTGTGGAACGAACTATGTCGGTGCCTCCAAGCAACTGAATAAGACCTTCCAGAATTTCATTGATGAAAGGAATACTCAAGATGCTCTCACTAACTTCGCCCTCGATCATTCAATTAATTTTCATTTCCAACCACCAGCCGCGCCTCACCAAGGAGGCCTTTGGGAGAGTGCCATAAAGAGCTCAAAGTACCATCTCAAGAGAGTAATTGGAGATCAAATTCTAACACTAATGGAGCTGATAACTCTTGTCACGCAGGTGGAAGCAGTATTGAACTCTCGTCCACTAACAGCAGATCCATCTGACATCACAGCACTCACCCCAGGTCATTTTCTCATCGGGACATCTCTTGTTGCAGTACCTGAAGTAAATGTATCCGATATTCCTGACAATCGACTAAAGCAAACAGTTCAGTTGGCAAACAGTTCAGGCTCTACATCAACGCTTCTGGAGAAGGTGGCACCAAGAGTATTTGCACCAGCTTCAACAAAGAAAAAAGTGGATGAAGCCAAACAAGAATCTTGAAGTAGGCGATTTAGTCATTATCCATGACCCAAAAACACCACCACTTCTCTGGCCTCTTGGTCGCATTGTGAAGACATCACCTGGAGCAGATGGCATCGTCCGAGTTGTCTCCATCAAGACTTCGAGAGGAATCTTCTGTCGCCCTGCTACCAAGGTGTACCCGCTCCCCTAATCACAAAATATTTCTATTCAATGTCCTATTTCATGTTTATTTATATTTATAATTATCATATATATCATATCTTATAATTAGGTGTGTCATCATTATCTATTGTGTATATATATCTACATTGTATTACTTGTGCCCATTTATGAGTCAATGAATCAATTTATGAATCTGTTGAACCATGTATGGTTCAAGGCGGGCGGCATGTTCCGTATTCAAGCATCTACGCAACCTAGGTGAACCCAGACTTCATTCATATTTTGTTCTGACCCTTGCCCTGTCACGTGATGTCTGGCAATTTCCCCCATTCCTCATGTACTCTTCAACCCGGCATCATGTTCTCGCCATTTTCCCTAGTTTTTTATTATAATATTCCCCTACTCTATTTGTGGCATATAAATTGAACTTATATATTATCGTATGTTTATCTTATGTATTTATTTGTGACACACCTAACAAAAAAGTGAACTGAATAGTTAAAAACTGTATTCAAACTGTTCTTGGTGCAACTACCGGTCGCGTACGCGAAAGCTGGCCAGCAAACATCAAGTGCGTCAACGGTCTACTAGACATCACTTCAGTAAAAAGGAAGGTACCAAATCACATTTCTTCCTATTTAAAAGTTTATTATTTTGTGCTCACAGTGTGTCTCTAAAGCTGATCTTAACATAATATATCTCACATCCCTCATTTTTTATACAGTCCACCATATCGAAGTTTACCCCCCAGTTACATAACCGCGTTGTTTTGGTGCACTTGGAAATTATGCATAATGAGGTCACCGTGGGAACCTATGGCAATTTATATATCATCGAAAACTAGATTTTTACCTGAAAACAATGGTACAAATATTTCTCTTCGGAGGCAAAATCTAAATGAACTAGATTCATTTGAATTTTGTTACAGGATTTTGTTGCAATTCTTGTCTTTGTCACCATTACTGTAAAGTGTAAACAAAGTACAAAATAAGGATTGATGGACCATCTAAGAAAATAAGAAGCCTAAGACAATACGAACAAAAGCAGTAAAGGCATTTATAAGTTCAACTGGAGCATTGATTATTGTTAACTAATCAGTTCCTATTTAGGAGGACTTACTACAATTACGAATCCACGTAAAATCCGGCCTACCTTTCTCACATATCTTTTCGCCTTGTAAAACAGAATTGTTAACTGTTGTACAAGTTAGACTTGGTAGGGTTGGATTAGAACACTGTCACTTTATAGCATATTAGTTTTTAGCAAAGACTTCTCTAATACTGTACAATATCATTATTATAGTGAACTATGTCACTAGTTCTTGCTGAAGTGAGAAGAAGATCCAAACAGAGCGTATTGTACTCCTTATGACAGTTCCCTCATTTTATAGTTAATTAATTTAGTACCTGGGGACCGAGCTCCGCTCGGGAAACTAAACAGTAAAGAATAAATAATAATAAATTTAAGCTTTAATTTAAAATACCATATGTTACATGCTTTCATAGAACAAATTGTCCTAATAACAACACCGTTATGGTGTATGGCATAATTAATGAAAATATTGATTGACATCAAATCACCCCGTATCGTATTTACAACCCCCCCCCCAAAAAAAAATTAAATCCTCCCCCCCCCTATGTTATTCTTACAGGTGCATAAGTCTAAATAACTTTTACCCTTTTCTAGATTAACTGGATATCTGAAATTTGGCATGATTGTAGATCTTGCGCCCTTATCGAAAAGTGACATTTTACAAATATAACTCCCCCCCCACGAAATATAGAATCCCCCCCCAATGTTATTCCAACAGGTGCATCGGTCTAAATCAATTTTACTCACTTCTAGATTAGCTAAAGATCTGAAATTTGGCTCAATTGTAAGTCTTGCGCCATGGCACATTTGTATTTACCCCCAACCAAAAAAGGGGGCAGCGAGCCAAAGGCGAGTTTTATCTATACAAAAGACACTTTAGGATTGGATAATGAGTAGTTTTAACCTTGAAGAATCTTTTGCAGCCCTTGATTGGGGTTTCCATTGACAAATATTTCCTGGATATTTAGTTTTTGTTTTGGCTTGGTTTAGTTGTATTACTTAGGCCTATTCACACAAAAATGTAGTTAGCCTAGCCTAGTTTAGGAGAAAAACCCTTGACACTTAAAGTCATCACACTCTTGTTTATGCCTACAGATAATATAGGCTATAATGCATAGATAGCTTCCAGAGCAAATTCAAGTTTTGACGTTTGTCGTTTTGTAACATGTGTCGACACACGACACGCTGCAACACAAACATATTAGGCACTTAAACTTTTTAGGCAGTTTAGGAGAAAAATCCCTACACACTTTTCAAAATCATCACAGTCTTGGGTACAGATAACATAGGCTATAATGCTTAAAATACAATAGATAGCCTTCACTCTCCAGAGAAATTTCGAGCTGGTGACATTTGCCGGTTTGCAACATTTTATGACAGGCGACGCATGCTTTAACTTGGGATATGTTATATCATATCAATTTGCCAAACTTAGCTCAGTTTGAAAACGTATAACCTATTTAAGTAATTCTTTTTAGATAAGCCACATAGACTAGGTCTAACTCGACTAAGGGGTAAACGTTTCCCGGGTTGATCCATGTTGGTGAGTACCAAAAAGGAAACTTAGGTATAAACATGGTTGTATATCCAAGTTTGGCTGTCCTCGATATAGGCCTAATTGCACTATTTTATTGACACTGACAAATAATAGGATAGGACTATAAGTTAATTGGGAGTTTATTTAATATCTAGTCCTAAACTTATAGCCAGCTTAAGGCATAACTTACACCACAGAGAAGTAATATAAACACTCATCCTCTGTAGGCCTAAAGCTACCTATATTTTATTTGGGTTAGGATTAGTACTTTTTTTAGAGTTTCATTATGTACTGAACACACCTAGATATAGGGTATTAGTGATTAATGAAATTATCCATTTATAAAAAGTAAAAAACAACCTTACCGAGTTACCTAATGATGTACCCAGTGCCAGTACTTAAAACAAAAATTAGGGCTTAAGGCCTATGGATATTGGTTTCAAAACATAAGAATAAGGCATTTTTAATATAGTAGCCATTGATTAGTGTGAATAAACAAAACATGGATGAACAACCAAGTCAAGCTAAGTTACTAACTAACCCAGTTGTTCAGGTTAGGATAACCTGAAAGGATCCATCTCAACACAACAAGGCTTAAACCTTAGAACAAATCCTAGTGTTTGATCTATTTTAAATTTTATTTTTCTGAAATAGATAGCTAAATTATCCAGTGCAATCATTCCACACTGCTAATTGCAACACTCTTAGTTAGTGCTAGTAGTAAGTTAGGTTACAATTAATTATTTTCCCTATGACCGATTCAGTGTAACATCAGTCAGAATCAGACGACATTATTGACAACGACACGACACGACAACCAACGAAAAGAGTAATTTAGTGATGACAACTATTATTAAAACCAGTAAAAATATCAAAAATAAGATATATCGCTCGTTTATATTGGCAAATTATTAAATAAACAGTAATAAAGCTGAGGCTGAGGCTAATATAAGAATAGTTTTTTCATGGATTAGAAACTCATTACTCTTTCTAGTTTTATAATATAATACAAATTCTTATACATCAAACGATTTAATGAACTGGAGCAAAGTCGAGTCGTTCTCTATCTCTCTGTCACAAGTTGACAAAATTGTATGTCAGAGTCAGAAGCTAATACACATCAGAAGTACAACAGTTTACCTCGGAAAGTGCTTCCAAGAGCTATCTGCGCATGCGCAAGCTGAGGTGCCCGTGGGTACAGAACGTCACGTTATGTCTTAAAATGTAAATAAAATGACAATAATGGCGGAATGTTTTCTCATCAGGCCCATGTTAAAAGTTTGTACTCATATTATTGCGAAAATAGATTTTTCCTGGCTATACCGCTGGTCTAGAACTTATTTTTGACACAGAACTTAGTTATTCCGTAAATATAAACGTTTTTGTTAGAGCCGATTCCCAGATTGAAGTAACAATTATTCAAACTTTACTTGTATTATATATAGGATATGTCTGGTCTGGACTCATAAAAATGAATCGTAATTTTATAAAACAATTTGTGAAATTAACAACGAACTATCAAAGTATGTGGGTAGTGAGTATAATATTTACTATAAAATGACATACTATCAATCAGAAATAAGAAATTAGGCTATAGTATTTTAGTGAGTTTTAGCATTAGGATAAAACATACTCCCTAGTAGATTCCTCATCCTTATGGAACAACTGAAGCCAATTTTATTGTTAGTTCTGTCCGGTGCACTGTAGAGGTCGTGTTTTGTTTACAATTTGTTATTTCAGTAATTTAAAACCTCGTTTAACCAAATAAACGATATAATCATTAACAATAACTCATACCCTAGTTATACATATAACTAAACAACATAGCACATATAATAAAATTAACCCAAAAATAATAGAAACAAAATGTTGTCGACACTAACGCCCAGTGTCACCGGACATGAACTAGCTTCAAAATTTACAATGGGATGAGAAATCTACTTGTGTTGGTTAGTCTATGGTTTTAGTCAGAAAGTATTAAAGTAAATATTAACGTTTCTAAATACCAACCGTTAAATCTAAATTATCGTAGTTAAGGTAATTTTTGTCCCAGCAGAGACATTTTTTCACCGTTATCTTCAGGAAGAAATCTATTTGTTGGTGATGTATAAACTACTATAGGTTCACATTGTCACTTCATTATGCATAATTACCTCACACTTAGTTCACCATGCTGTAAAAATGGATAAATTGTTTTTTTTTTTATTTATGTCATCAAAAAATTTAA